AGTGGCTAAACGCACCAGGGTTCGATTCAACCGGACTATACAAGGCTGGTGTGAATGCGCCCTAAGTAAGACACAGAAATCTGACATAGTCACTTGTTTGCCATTTTTAAAACACTGCCATTAAAAATGCTACACACATGAACCAATCAGCAATCTGGAGGATGGGTTTGGGCAGACAGCCCGGGGGCACGGCAGAGGCAGAGAAGCGGCGAAGGCCGCGGCGGGGAAAGTCAGGTGGCCGGGCATGAAGGCGGAGACGGGACAGCTCCGGAGGACGGGCAGGACTCGGAGTTGGCAGGACCCCCGACAGAGAAGGGACTTGAGTCGGCGGGACTGCCGACAGGACACAGGGAGCCGGAACTGGAGCCGGAACAATCGCTGCTGGGGCCGGTAGCCTGACCTTGCGTCTCTTATGCCCCTTTCACACCAACGCGGTTCCAGGGCCGGTTCGGAGCTAGAGCCTGATAAGCACCGGTTTTTCCTGTTCACACCGCAGCGGAGCTGGCTCTTTTCCCCGAAAACCGGTTCTTACCAAGCTCGAAAAAATGGTCCGTCTAGAAGCAAGAACCGTATATGGGGCAGGGGCTTATCAGGCTCAATCTCCGAACCAGCCCTGGAACCGCTTTGGTGTAAAAGGGGCATTAATCTCAGATAACTAGCGTTATTATATAGCCTTATAAACTGTAACAGCTCACCTGTGACTATTGGGCTATACAAGTTAACTTTGATGATTTGATAAACCAGATTGGCCCGATAATTGACCCGGGTTTTTTTGCTTTGTGTTTGTGTGTGTGTGAGTGTGAGTGTGCTTGAGTGTGTGTGTGTGTGTGTGTGTGTGTGTGTGTGTGTGTGTGTGTGTGTGTGTGTGTGTGTGTGTGTGTATATGTATGTCCGTGTGTGTGAGTGATTTAACACAAGTTCGGTTTTTGTAAAATAGTGGTATTTTGGAGACTTATACTGTTTGAGCTCTCCAGAAACACTTCCAATCTGTCATAGTCAGCAGCACACTGACCTTGTCCTGCTAATACAAAGGGTCCTCGTAGTGTCTGTGTTTATTCATACCACATGTCTGCTTTGACCACATAAACCAGCCCACTAACAAACATATATGAAATATCTGAATAAATAACGAAAGACAACATACACACATAAACATATAAACACACACAGACACACAAACACTCAAACAAACATATACCTTCAGAAACACACACATACACATGCTCAAACACACACACTAACGCACATGCACACACATACTCAAACACACACATATACACTAGTGCAAACAGACACACACACTCACACACACACACACACACACACACACACACACACACACACACACACACATATACACTCAAACAGACATATACCTGCATAAACACACACACACACACACACACACACACACACACACACACACACAGCAGTAACCTGTGTATCCTTTCTAATACATGTAGATAGTGTTTCTAACTGAACGTGTAACGAGTCTCTGATGTTCAGGCTGATATGAGGCTGCAGATGTTGAGCAACACGCTGCTTGCTCTCATCACTGGTTGTGTCATGTGACTTCAGTACAAATAAGGGTTTTAACATTTCAAAGATAGGCTATATATATAATGACTCAATAAATAAAATATTTGTTTTGTTTCAGAATCAGAATACCTTTGTTAGTCCCACAGAGAGGACATGTACGTTGTTCCAGCAGAAAAGAGCCACAGACAGCTTCATGTTAACTAAAGCATGCATACCAAAATATTAAAGATACAACAATTATGATAAACAAAGTTACACAATTTACAACATCCTGTAACAGTTCTGAGGATTTAGCAGCCAGGTATATATTGCACAGTTATTAACGGCATATATATATATATATTGCACATAGTTGGTATTTAACAGCAAGGGGTGTTATAGTCTGAGTGTTTTAAAGCCATCCTCATTTTATTGAGCCGTCCTTTTCATCAGCAGTGTGAGATAAACACTCGACAGAATAAGAGACACATCAATGTTGATATCAGTATATTTAGTGTCTCTACTGGGACATGTTTCAATGCTGTAATGATCAAAAAGGGATCCACAGAGCTTTCTGGATTATTAAAGTAGTTTTATTGTTTTTTTGGTCACATAGTAAGTAGACGACAATCTGTGATCCAACATGAAGCAAACGTATCATGATATAGGAACGGTCATTTACTAACAAATAGACAAAAATGCATAATTGTAAAAAAAAGAATCAACGTTCTTTACAGCTAAATTAATAAAATAAAAATAAAGACAAAAAGCTCAATATTTCTTCACAAAATGAAGCACAATTCTTAATAAATGAAATCAATGAACTTTTATGTAATAAACACAATTCCTGATTACAACTCAATCTCAATACTTGGAAAATAGGAACCTTTCTTTATTTACAACACTAATTAAACTTCTTGCTGATTACCACACGGGGCAAAATACTTGTAAGTTAGGAGGAGGTTTTAATGACTAAATCAGGCAAAAGTCTTATGGATTTAAGGAAAAGGGTAAAATACAAAAATAGGCAGAATTCTTAAAAAGCCCCCACAAACAATCACAACCACATAATATCAAAATGATTTACAACTCAATTAAAGCAAATCCTTAACGATATATAATGAGCGCAAATCTTGATTACAAAACTAAGCTCAGCAAATAGGACTTCATTTAATATAAAAAACATTTATTTTAACAAATTAAAATCAATTAAAACAAATTACTTCAAAGCAAAACTTCTTATGAAATAAAAAAACATTTGTTAATTACAAAAATGTCAAAATACTTCTGAAATCTTTAAACACGAAAAGCGTTGGAAGTATTCATTTTTGTTTTTAATTTGTATTATAATAATGTTCAGCAACATTTCTGGCTAAACTTCTCACACCATTTTATAAAACTGAGCTTTGAATGCTTGTTGAAATAAAAAAAGAAATTAAAAACACCAACTCTCGATGTGCTCAAATCCACCAGCAGGTGGCGCTGTAACACCTTTCTCCTGTTCTCTCTGGACTCATTGGCATCAGGTATTGCAATGTAGATTTCAGAGGATATTTGACTAGTTTTATTAAACATATAACATTATTCAGCCGGGGTTGCTGTGTCTTTGGTTTCAAACTGCACCGACTGCTTTGACTTTTCAAATTCAACCAAATGTGTGAGTTGTTGTTAAAGATCTACGTCTTCAGAATGAACCAATGGGCTTGGAGCTGACAGGAAGTCAGAAAAGACATATTGATGGTGTGGTATTTTCAAGTTGTGTGTGTGTGTGTGTGTGTGTGTGTGTGTGTGTGTGTGTGTGTGTGTGTGTGTGTGTGTGTGTGTGTGTGTGTGTGTGTGTGTGTGTGTGTGAGAGGAGGTCTTTGGAGCTGCTACTCTGCTCCCGGAGCTCCTTCCTCTTCTGCAGGAACATCCAGGTTATAATAATCCAGCTCAATGTCCTCCTGTCGGCTCGGCCTCCGCCCCCTGGTGGCCTGGAGAGATATGACAGCACACAGATGAGACTTCCTGCATCACTCCTGTTCAATAACACACACTGTTTCATTCAGTCAGTGGTGGAACAACAACATGTTTCAGTACCTCATCATTCAGTCAGTGGAACAACAACATGTTTCAGTACCTCATCATTCAGTCAGTGGAACAACAACATGTTTCAGTACCCTATCATTCAGTCAGTGGAACAACAACATGTTTCAGTACCTCATCATTCAGTCAGTGGAACAACAACTTGTTTCAGTACCTCATCATTCAGTCAGTGGAACAACAACATGTTTCAGTACCTCATCATTCAGTCAGTGGAACAACAACATGTTTCAGTACCTCATCATTCAGTCAGTGGAACAACAACATGTTTCAGTCCCTCATCATTCAGTCAGTGGAACAACAACATGTTTCAGTACCTCATCATTCAGTCAGTGGAACAACAACTTGTTTCAGTACCTCATCATTCAGTCAGTGGAACAACAACATGTTTCAGTACCTCATCATTCAGTCAGTGGAACAACAACTTGTTTCAGTACCTCATCATTCAGTCAGTGGAACAACAACAGGTTTCAGTACCTCATCATTCAGTCAGTGGAACAACAACATGTTTCAGTACCTTATCATTCAGTCAGTGGAACAACAACATGTTTCAGTCCCTTATCATTCAGTCAGTGGAACAACAACATGTTTCAGTCCCTCATCATTCAGTCAGTGGAACAACAACATGTTTCAGTACCTTATCATTCAGTCAGTGGAACAACAACTTGTTTCAGTACCTCATCATTCAGTCAGTGGAACAACAACTTGTTTCAGTACCTCATCATTCAGTCAGTGGAACAACAACATGTTTCAGTACCTCATCATTCAGTCAGTGGAACAACAACATGTTTCAGTACCTTACAGTAGAAGTAAAGGCCGACGGTCACCACCAGCAGCAGAGTCAGCAGCAGGACGACGGCTCGGATGATAAAAGGTCCTGGATCTGATGGAACAGATGGACAGCATCACATCAAGAGTCAGCAAACACTCTGTAGAGACCTGAACCCTGAAGCCACTTCAGCATGGAGACTCCTCTCTCTCTGATGTGGCCTCTGGAGAGACTTTAATATGTGGCCTGACATGTTTCCAGACCGTAGGAGAAGCTGCTGTATCTCTTACATCCAGCAGTCAGTACTCAGGTCAAGACTCTAATGTAGACTAGACTTCACTGGAGAACCAACCGAACAGTGAGGAAACACAACAGATGAAACAAAGAGGCCTTTTGTGCAGGAGACCAGGACCATAAACCCAGACTGAAGGAGAGGTTCTGGTCCAGGTTCTGCTGGATTCGTGTTGTTCTGAATTTTCAAGTCATTTGGATAAAAGTGAAAGTCAAATCCAATGTAATGTAATGGGTGTGACTGCTTCATGGACCGGTTCATAGTAAAACACCTTACTCTCAGATAACCAGCATTATTATATATATACTTTATAAAGCCTTATAAAGTGTAACAGCTCACCTGTGGCGGAGACGGAGAGCAGACGGCTCTCAGAGGAGAAGTTATGAGAAAAAACAAAGAGGTGATAAACACAGCTGTAGCTTCCTTGGTGGGCGGGCTCTGCAGAAGGAAACAGGAAGTGGGCAGAGTGATTGACAGCTGGCAGTGAGTAGTAGTTGTTTGCTGAGTTGATGGAGGTGAAGTTGAGCTGGAAGGAGCCTCCTGGGTACTGAGGCTGGATGGAGCAGCTGATGGTGAAGGTGGAGCCTCTGAACACCTGGAACCCCTGCTGCTGGGCCCCGGAGACCCCGTACATGGAGGACACAGAGATGTTTGGCTGAAACAGCAGGTCTGGAGAGAGAGAGAGGAGGAGAGAGAGAGAGAGAGAGAGAGAGAGAGAGAGAGAGAGAGAGAGAGAGAGAGAGAGAGAGAGAGAGAGAGAGAGAGAGAGAGAGAGAGAGAGAGAGAGAGAGAGAGACATTCACCTTCAACAAAATGGCCTCTGAAAAAGGACCTGACTAACAAAGGGACAGATGACTTGGATGGATGTCACTGTTCGGCTTACCTGAGCAGGTGAGATTCAGGATGTGGTTAGAGTAACCTGGTTCTGCACACTCCCTCAGAGCAGATCCAGACTGAACACAGTCGGAGCTGATCAACCACACAGATCTCTCTGAGGACTCTTTTCTCCATCCCACAGAAACAGCAGAGCCACAGTCGAGATCTTTGCAGGCAACACCTGCTGTCTTCAGGGTCCTGAGAGAGTCATAGCCCCACACTGGTCTCCATTCTCCCTGATGTTTCACCTCCAGGTCTCCTGCACAGCGACTCTCTCCTCTCACCAGTCTGACCGGCTCTGGAGAGAAACAAGAGAGAGATCAGAGAGAGAATAAAGTGAGTTTGATGAGAACAGAATGAACCAATCACAGCTCCTCTCTACCTGAGCAGGTGAGGCTAACAGCTCTGCCAGGTGAGCAGGTGTTTCTCTCTGAGGCTGAGCTACAGTCCAGGAGAGCAGACTCATGGCCTCCACACTGGAACTCTTTGGTCCCCATTGGAGCCTCCCCTTCTCCATAGAGCGCCCCCTGGAGGACTGAAGGAGCCCCACAGCCCAGCTGCCTGCAGACCACCTGAGCATCCTGCTGGTCAAAGTCAGCCTCACACACTGAGGACCAGGACGGGTCAGACTGGTTAGACTTCACCTCCAGTCTACCTGAGCACAGACTGGTCCCATTCACCAGCCTGACAGAGTCTGGAGAGGACAGAAGATAAAACACAGAGAGGTCAAAGACACACATTCTCACTCCCAACTCGTTCTCTAGTGACGTTATGTCAGGATCCCTTGGCGTTACTTTCTAACGCAGTGGGGGGCCTTTTAGCGTCGAGTTTCAACTATCAGGGAGTCCCATTGACTTGCATAGAGCTCCCTGAACGTTGGTAATAGACGAGTTGAGATCGTGGAGAAATGCTCTCCACCGACCCATTCTCAGAGCGTTTATCAACCTTTTCTAACTCAATATCAAGCCACACTTATTTTGTTGCTGTCAGTTATGGGGAGAGTAGGGGCTCAGAAAACTGACATCTGTATTGTTTCATCGTTTTTTCCTTCTAATGTTGTATTCTTTTCTAAACCACACTTATTTACTCAACAATAAGACACTATTATCCTTGTGTTTATTTATTTGTTTGATTGTATAATGTTGACTTTTGGAGTCCGTCAGGACCGAGAGTTGGAGCAGCTCATTCTGAAGCTGTATTTTTTTTACTGGTTATTTTTCATTTCAAAATAAGAGTTCATTCACATTAAAGACAAGAAATATAAATAACACTTCCATTAAGAGCCAGAGGCTTAAAAGAAAGACACAAAAGAATGAAAGAGGCATTAAAGAGCTTACTTAAAGGTCCCATGTCATGGCCATTTCTACTGATCATAATTCCATTGTTGAGGTCTACTAGAATAGATTTATACTGTGCAATTTTCCAAACTCACATTGGTTTCTCATACAGCATCTCTGTATAGTATGTGTATTCACTCTCTGTCCTAAACGGCTTGTTGAAGCTCCTGCCCCCCCCCCCCCTCCCTGCGAGTCCAGTGTGCTCTGATTGGTCGGGACGTTGAGAGGCTCGTTGCTGCGATCTGCTGCGAGGAGCGGAAACCTGTCCGCTCCTCGCAGCAGATCGCAGCAACGAGCCTCTCGGCGATACAGCGAGAACAAGCGAAACTCATCCTGAGCACACACAAACACTCACAGCCGAAGTAAAAACAATAAGTGTGGCTTGATATTGAGTAAGAAAAAGGTTGATAACGCTGTGAGCATGGGTCTGCGGAGAGCATTTCTCCACCATCCCAACTTAGTAGCCCGAAAAACGTTTACCCATTTAAACAGTCGTGGTAGATACCTTGTTTGTTTTAAACCTCATAAATACACAAACAACAATGAACAGGTTGTGTACCCGAATCTCCCGCTGGTTCAAACAAAGTAGGAACAGCATCGTTCTTCAGTGCCCTACGCTGTACATATCCGGCATGAATCACTGAGAGGTTTGGGAAGCTTTGTTTCGTGAAATGCTGGCAGAGGGTGTGGCCTCTGGGTATTCACACGTCACAGTACCCAGGAAGAAAATGAGAAATCTCCAACGAGGCGTTTTGGGGAGGTCTTTTCTGTGTTAGAGTTTTACTCGCTACAGGGTGTACTTTCAGGGTTTTGACTCTGCAGACCGTTTACATGCATAAAAACCTTCATAACACACAAGGGGACGGGTAATAACCGGAAAAGCATGACATGGGACCTTTAAAACAAAAAAAGGATGGCTTGCTACCTTTCCATTAACAGCAGTGTATATGGTTTTACCCAAAATAATTATTATATGAACCAAATCAGATATTGAAAAAGATTCAATATTATCAATATAAAATTAAATGTGACATATTTCGAAGGCATGAATATCCAGTAATTTAAGCAACAACCAATCCCTCACATTAAACAAAAAATAATTTAGAAAAAGGGCATGAGAAAAATTATGTTCCAATGATTCAATTTGTAAATTAGAAAAAGAACATGGGTCTACTTCGATTGTAAAACACGTTTCAAAATTATGCCCACATAACTACACACTGATACCGGTTAGAAAAAAAATGTTTTGATGCTTTGACAAGTGTGCAGACAAGACGGCAGAGGAACACTTTTAAAATGTTGTCTGCATGGAGATCAGGCTTGTCACATGCTGGCCCTGGCTGATCGCCTCACTCCCTCACCTGTGTGTTTTCCTTCCCTGTTAATCACCTGCCTGGCCTCAATGAGCCTCAGCTGTCCCTACATTTAATAATGTATTTATGTTTAATAATGTATTTATGCTGTATTTGTTCTTAAATGTCTTTTGCTTTTAATGTGTAAAGCACTTTGAATCGCCACGTGCTGAAAAGTGCTATATAAATAAAATTGCCTTGCCTTGCCTTAATCCCTACTCCTCTCCTGTGTATTTAGTCTGTGCTGTTGCCTTGATCATTGCCAGTTCGTCTTGTCTGTCTAGCAGGAAGTGCTCCTAGATACTCTCCTAACGTATGCTATAGTTCTAGCTGTTTAGCATTTGTACCAACTTAGTTGGTTGTTTTTCGTTGCTTCCAGTCTGTACATTTTTGGAACTTTGCCTGTATTATTTTGCCTTTTGGATTAAACGCTTGACTAAAGACCTTTTTTGCCTGGTTGTGCTCTTGAGTCCTATTTTTGCTTGTGCCCGTACTTGTGCTTGATAAGGCTAAGCTAACATGTAGCTGCTCCGTCCAAACTCACAACAACGTCACACAGACAGAAATAAAGCAGTGACTGTAGTCTCTATGCCACAGACAGTCTGTGGTTTGTATATTTATAACTTTCTCCAGTTTCTGTGTAACAGTTGTAAATATGCAGTGGTGTTTAGTGTTAAATAGTTATTTGTAAATCATTTAGTATAATCACACAAATTCTGTGTTTTGTATTTAATAATTCTGTGTTCTTCATTTATTAAAACGTTAAATTACTGACTAGGTTTGAAATCAGTGGGCAGAACCTCCAAAATTCAGTCACTGTACACAGAGGATTATTTTTGTGGGGACTTCCCCCTTCATATTGTGTCCCTCACGTTTCCTCTTCCATTTTTGTGAATGTGTTCCACGTGAGAGGAGTCAGGGTGAGGGAAAACTAATGTAATAACTTGTAGTGATCACTAATTAACTAGGTTACATAATTCACTCATGGAACTACAGGTTGGGGGTATTGTTTCCGCACGGACACATATGTTGTTGACTGTATTTATTGTGTGCCCTCCTTGCTTCTTTCTCTTCTTCCCGGGCTGCGACCCGACAACATGTCCGTCTCTGCTGCTCATTAAAGCACCACTTTTCACCTTCGATGCACCGCCTCCGACTCCTATCTCTCGGCACTACATTGGCTGCGCTAGCTAACACGGCTAGTGTTGAGCCCCGCGCTTTGGCCGAAGAACTAGCCGGTTCTTCCTGGCCGCCCGGCGATTTACCCCTGAGGTGCTGGCCACTACACGCTGCGGCACCTTCCCTAGTGGGGGCACGCCGCCTAGCAGGGGCTCCGGGGCCGACGACGACGACTGACGGCCGTCGAGGACGGCTAGCCACGACAGCTAACGGCTAGCAGCTAGCGGCTAACGACATCCGATTGTTAGCCCCTTTTTTTTTGTGGTGCCGGAGAGGAGGTTCGATCAAGTCTGGTCGGCCTCGTGTGGATCCTCTCACAATTTCGCCCACCTGTTTTTGATCGTGGACAGGACGACCTTTTTGAGTTTTTTCTGGTGCCTGAGAGGAGGTTCGACCATGTCTGGTCGGCCTCGTGTGGACCCTCTCGCTTTTTCACCACCTCGACGGCGGCTTCGGACGTCGCCCATGCCTTCTTCGGCCCGTGGGTGGCGCGCTTCTGGACCCCGTCTCGCCTCGACTCTACGGTTTCGATCGTCGCCCATGCCTTCATCGGCCCGTGGGTGGCGCGCTTCGGGACCCTGTCTGGCCTCTTCCCTCGTCTCGGCGGTTTCGGACGTCGCCCATGCCTTCATCGGCCCGTGGGTGGCGTGCTTCTGGACCCTGCCTGGCCTCTCCTCTGACCGCGACTCACGGTTCGCCTCGACGGCGGCGTCGGACGGCGCCCCGTCTGGCCTCTCCCCTGTCCACGGCTCCTTCCTCCCGGGGACACGGCTCCTTCCTCCCGAGGACTTCGTACCCGCCGCCGCTGTGCCTTCGCCTGCGGCCGGGCAGCGCTCCTCCCTGCTGGGGACCACCGGGATATTCACGCCCGTCCCCACGTCGCAACACAGCGACCCTGCTTTCTGCGGCCCCCTGACAACGGCCCGTTCCGGCCCGCCCCCCACGCCCCGGTGGGGATGCCCTCGCCCTCGTTGGGCCCCTACCCTCTCCTGCGGCTCCCTTCCGACGGCCCGTTCCATGGCCCGGCCCCGCCCTCCTCGGCCCCTGTGGTGCTTCCTCCCGGACGCGAGGATTGTGTCCATGGTTGAATTCTGGGGGGGCTTGTGTAGTGCTCACTAATTAACTAGGTTACATAATTCACTCATGGAACTACAGGTTGGGGGTATTGTTTCCGCATGGACACATATGTTGTTGACTGTATTTATTGTGTGCCCTCCTTGCTTCTTTCTCTTCTTCCCGGGCTGCGACCCGACAACATGTCCGTCTCTGCTGCTCATTAAAGCACCACTTTTCACCTTCGATGCACTGCCTCCGACTCCTATCTCTCGGCACTACAAACTACTGATTTGTTGTATATCTGTTGTCAGTCAGTGAATGAACGGAGATCGGCTCAACGGTATGCTGGCTCGGGTATCATCCTTCAACAAAAGAAACACAACGCAGACACCGCTAATAGACACGAGTTACACATGGACAGATATGAGGAGCTGTGAGCTCTCTGTGCTAACAGCTAATGGCTAACAGCTAATGGCTAACAGCTAACGGCTAACGGCCGATGTTCTTGTTTCCTGATTCAACATCAGTGATGTCAGACTGAGATCCTCACTGCTGATTGGCTAACGCGACACAGCGTCAGGCAAATTTCACTCAGAAGATGAAAAAATGTAACTCTCATGAATGACGCAAGTCGCGTCAATAGCATCAGTCGCGCCGCTGGCGCTAAACTGCGACGTTCTGCATCTTTCCATTGACTTTACATGTAATTGTGACGCTCAAAGTTTCACATTGCGTCCGGTGTGAATGTACCTTAACAATTAGCATCCATCTGTTCACCCTTTTACTGGGTTTTCAAACAATAAAACATAATCTGCAGATTCCTCTCTTCTAGTCCTTCTGCTCAGGTACCCAAACATCTTTGCTCTCCACACAAAGACTTTTTTTTTTCTTTTTTTTCTGAGAATTTTTGAAAACCAGAATATGACTCTGTTAAGAAGATGTTTTAAAAAGTGAAAGTGATAGGGTCTGGACCGTCTCCATGTAAGGAACCCCCCAGGGTGAAGGACTCCATGTGGTGTGGAGATACTGAAGAGCCCGGCTGAGCTGATCAGAGCTGTGTTCAGGAGGTCTTGGTGCTGTTATGGTGGAACCCAAAGAACCTGCTGGTGGAACCCAGAGGCTCAGAGAGAGGTGGAGCTGAAGAAGGAGTCCTTTCAGACTGGTTGGCCCCGGGGACTCCTGGAGCAGCACACATGTTTCATATACACACATCAGGGAGGGACGTTTGGAGACAAACAGTGTTTCCATATTCACTGGGAACTACTGGACCCTTTAGAAGATGTGAGAGATGATGTCATTGGTGGTTTCACTAATGGGCTTACCTGAGCAGGTGAGACTCACGATGTTGGCAGCGAAACTTGCTTCTGCACACTCCCTCAGATCAGGTTCAGACTGAACACAGGCAGGACTGATCCCCCACACATATCTGGGTGGGGAGAATATCTGTCCTACAGAAACAGCAGAGCCACAGTTGAGCACTCTGCAGACAACACCTGCTGTCTTCAGGGTCCAGTAACGTTTAGGGTTAGGGTTATAGCCCCACACTGCTCTCCATTCTCCCTCTTGTTTCACCTCCAGGTCTCCTGCACAGCGACTCTCTCCTCCCATCAGTCTGACAACAGGCTCTGAAGAGAAACAAGAGAGTGATCAGAGAAAGAATAAAGTGAGTTTGATGAGAACAGAATGAACCAATCACAGCTCCTCTCTACCTGAGCAGGTGAGGCTAACAGCTGTGCCAGATGAGCAGGTGTTTCTCTCTGAGGCTGAGCTACAGTCCAGGAGAGCAGACTCATGGCCTCCACACTGGAACTCTTTGGTCCACATTGGAGCCTCCCCTTCTCCATAGAGCGCCCCCTGGAGGACTGAAGGAGCCCCACAGTCAATCTCCCTGCAGACCACCTGAGCATCCTGCTGGTCAAAGTCAGCCTCACACACTGAGGACCAGGACGGGTCAGACGGGTCAGAGTTCACCTCCAGTCTACCTGAACACAGACCGGTCCCCCCCAGCAGCCTGACAGAGTCTGGAGAGGACAGAAGATAAAACAGAGAGAGGTCAAAGACACACAATAAAAGAGATGAAACAATATTTCAGATTCAAACTGGACTCAGTTCCAACATGAGTTCATGATGAACAACAGAACACTTCTTTACATCAGCACAGACTGCAGGTACCCTCACATCTACATCTGATACCCTCTAATGCTGCGTTCACACCGGACCTGCGAAGATTCACATCGCTCTAGTTGCTCGAGTTTCACCGCAGCTGTCAGCTGTGTTTACTCGCGTCATTCAAACAGGACGTGCTGGCGAGGAGGCGGGACGTATCTCCATGTAAATACTATGGTAGATACAAACAACAACAACATGAACATATTTTACAGGGATTTAATTCTAAAACATGTTTCAAAATGATGCCCACATAACTACTGGTTAGAAAAAACATGTATTCATGCTTTGACAAGTGTGCAGACAAGACGGCAGACGAACACAAAATGTTTTCTGCATGGAGATCAGGCTAAGCTAACATGTAGCTGCTCCGTCCAAACTCACAACAACGTCACACAGACAGAAATAAAGCAGTGACTGTAGTCTCTATGCCACAGACAGTCTGTGGTTTGTATATTTATAACTTTCTCCAGTTTCTGTGTAACAATTGTAAATATGCAGTGGTGTTTAGTGTTAAATATTTCTTTGTAAATCATTTAGTATAATCACACAAATTCTGTGAATTGTATTTAATAATTCTGTGTATCATCCTTCAAAAAAAGAAACACAACGCAGACACCGCTAATCGACACCAGTTACACCAGAGGCCTGTACTACGAAGCTGGTTCAACCTAACCTGGATATGTTGGAGTTAGCCGGTTGGCCCAATCCAAAACATACGCGCTCTCGCTAAGCGGTCCTACGACGCTGGTTATCAAGTGGATCGCTCAAGCCAGCCGTGTCCTATCTAGTTAGGTGCGCGTTCACATGAAAGGGGTGGTATTTGGAGCATTCGACCAATCACAAACATGGACAAGCGTACTGACAGCGCAGCGTCATACTTCCTGAATGAAAAGTGAACTTTAATATTAGTCAAATATGAAGAAGTTGAACTTTAAACATCCATGACTTAAACACTTTATCCAGGATAAAAGCCACATAGCTGCACCTGCAAGGTGAATACAGCTGGTAAAAGAAAAAGCGTTTGAATGCGACCAAGACACGATCTGACTTTAATTACATTTGACTCGAGTGTTTCGTCAACTTAATGTGTTGCTTAAAATAATACTTCTGCATACAGTATGTGACACTGTGAGTGTTGCACGGCCAGATACGGCTCAGCTGACTCAGATAAGGAAATATATGATACATTATGATGTGATGTGATATGAATGATAATGGGACACATCGACGTCTGCACTCACAGTGCCGCGGACTGTACGTAATGTTACTCTGATCCGGTTACTTATGTTGTGGCAGATATTTAAGTAAGCTTTCTTAACGCTAATGTTATAATAGTCAGATTGCTCTGAAGATGGGAGGTGATATTCTATTCATTTTCACGTTCACACAGTCGGTTGATTTTTGCCCGGCCGTCTTTCCTGCAATGGCAATTTTTCTGTATTTCCTCTATCCTGTAATATGCAGGGATGCAAACTCATCAGGTATAAAAAAGGTGACAAGGATCCGAGCCCCCCGACCCCACGGAATATCGGCTTTAAAATTAGGAATAACAGAGGATTTTAGCATTCAGAACAACTAAAGAAGCAATGTTAATAATAACAGAAACGCCAAAGAGTCACATCTAATAGAAATATATAAAAGCATTTATTTTAATTGTGTAGCAGTCAGTTTATAATTTTGGCAGCACTGTTGAGCATTTTGAAAATGTATTTTCATGCCTCTGTGCAAGGCTTAGTCTTTCTATCTTTATAGCCAGTGGTGTAAAGTAACTAAGTTCATAAACTCAAGTACTATACTTGGGTACAATTTTGAGATACTTGTACTTTATTTATGTATTTCAATGTTTTGCTACTTTGTTCTTCTACTCCTCTACAGTTCAGAGGTAAATGGTGTACTTCTACTCCACTACCTTTAGTTACTTCACAGATGTGGATGAATGATGTGAAATATAATCAAGTGTTAAATCAGACTTTAGTTCCACCTGGAGTAAATCCACAAGCTACCCTGCAGTATACAAAGTCATTCAAACTAGCTGCACCTTTACCAGCTTTGAGAACACTTTAATGATCAATCATTATAAAACATATCATATATATTATTCTGAAATGGACCAATCTGCACAATCACTACTTTTACTGTCGCTACTTTCACTATATTTTGATGATAATACTTTTATACTTTTACTTGAGGAACATTTTGAATGCAGGACTTTTACTGAAACAGAGTATTCCTACACTCTGGTACTTCTACTTTTACTCAAGTACAAGACCTGAGTACTTCTACTTTTACTCAAGTACAAGATCTGAGTACTTCTACTTTTACTCAAGTACAAGATCTGAGTACTTCTACTTTTACTCTAGTACAAGATCTGAGTACTTCTACTTTTAATCAAGTACAAGATCTGAGTACTTCTACTTTTAATCAAGTACAAGATCTGAGTACTTCTACTTTTAATCAAGTACAAGATCTGAGTACTTCTACTTTTACTCTAGTACAAGATCTGAGTACTTCTACTTTTAATCAAGTACAAGATCTGAGTGCTTCTACTTTTAATCAAGTACAAGATCTGAGTACTTCTACTTTTAATCAAGTACAAGATCTGAGTGCTTCTACTTTTACTCTAGTACAAGATCTATACTTATACCACCTCCGTTTATAGCCTATGACTATTAGAAAACGAAGGCTAAAGCTAACGTTAGCAGATATGTTATGCTAGTTAGCTAGCTCAATGATAATATTGCGACAGGAACACTTTTCAGTGCACATCACGCTCTGCCGCTCCAACAGGGAGCTCTGCTCTGAACACCTGAACGGCCCGTTCTAACAGCTGTTCACCAGCGGTCCAGTCTGTGCCACAGTGACTCCGGACCACACAGTTAATATTAACGAACGCACCGTAGGTAATGTAGCTGCTGAAGCTAGACTCTCATCCCGGAGCAGCAGAGCCTTATTATACATCCATGAGCAGAGCCGACAGGCAGGAAGACTCGAGCACACAGCTCGCGCTTCATTATAATATATAAAAAAAGAACACCATGCGTGTCATGATGGCACATAACAGCTCGCTGCCGCAGATTACTCCGGGTCCCAGACCCCACCATACCCCAAAAATATTTGTATTGCAGATCTACATGAATCACACAAACGACCTATTTTGGATTCAAAGCGGCGAATTTCGCCGAAAGGTGACAAGTTTGCATCCCTGAATATGACTTGATCGCTTTAAACTCCGCACACGGAGCTCTGATTGGTCAGCAGGCGGTGCTTTCACTGAGTTGATCTCTTAGCCTGCAACCTAACCTCCTCCCGAGGAGGTTAGCCGCTCAGCATAAGTTACCATGGAGATCTAGCCCACTAAAAAGAGAACCAGCGTCGTAGGACCGGAGAGCCCGAGTTTTCCCTGAAGTCAGCCGGCTAAGCGAAAATCCGGCTTCGTAGTACAGGCCTCTGGACAGATATGAGGAGCTGTGAGCTCTGTGTACTAACAGCCAACGGCTAACAGCCAACGGCTAACAGCCAACGGCTAACGGCTGATGTTCTTGTTTCCTGATTCAACGTCAGTGATGTCAGACTGAGATCCTCACCGCTGATTAGCTAACACGCGACAGCGTCGGGCGAATTAGACTCAGAAGATGAAAAGATGTAACTCATGAATGACGCAAGTCGCGTCAATAGCGTCAGGCGCTAAACTGAGATGTTCTGCATCTTTGCATTGACTTTACCTGTAATTGCGACGCTCGAAGATTCACATTGCGTCCGGTGTGAATGTACCTTAACAATTAGCATCCATCTACCAGGTTTTCAAACAATAAAACATCATCTGCAGATTCCTCTCTTCTAGTCCTTCTGCTCAGGTACCCAAACATCTTTGCTCTACACACAAAGACTTCGTTTTTTTGTTTTTCTGAGCATTTCTGAATGTGTGATAGATGATGTCATTGATGGTGTCACTAATGGGCTTACCTGAGCAGGTGAGAGTCACAATGTGGTTAGCGGAACTTGATTCTGCACAATCCCTCAGAGCAGATCCAGACTCAACACAGATAGGACTGATTTCCCACACAGGTCTGCTTGAGGACTCCACTCTCTCTCCCACAGAAACAGCAGAGCCACAGTTTAGCTCTCTGCAGACAACAGCTGCGGTCTTCAGGTTCCAGAGAGCGTTAGCGTTCAATGTTCTCCATTCTCTCAGATGTTTCAGCTCCAGAGCTCCTGCACAGCGACTCTTTCCTTCCACCAGTCTGACAACAGGCTCTGAACAGAAACAAGAGAGTCATGTCGTTTAGTTGCTTGTAGCAGATGTAATATTTAATAATTATTACTAAAATAAAGATGTTGTATCATGAACCCCTAAATGATGATCCAAGCAATGACTGATAGTGATGGAAGGATGGAGTTACAGCTGGAAACCACCAGAGAAATGAGTACATCATTATTCTTGTCAAACTGGAGGTCTTTCTGAACCAGTGGTGGAAAGAGATCAGAACCAGAACCAGGTTTATCACCAGGTGGGTCGACATGTACGAGGAGTTTGACTTGGTGTTGTGGTGCAGACATTAAAGTCAAACTAACATTAAAAACACAGATAGAAAACTATTTAAGAAAACTATAATAACATGAACAAATATAGAAAATGTAGTATAATATAGCAGTGTTCACATTGAAATAGAATAGGAATGAAATATCCAATATATGCAGTAATAAAAAACAAGATATTGTGTACATTGTGTGCATTAATGTAAATTACATTGAATTACAAACTGGATGTAGTGATATTGTGTGGTGTATAATGAAACCAGATACCTGGCACTGTAAAAATAATTTAAAGTTATCTCCACCTTTACCGACTGCAAGACTGAGAGATGCTCTTGTTCATGGATCATTCATTAGAATCAGTAGTGATGAAAAGCTGTTGATGGTTTGTTGTGTGCATATCAAGAATATCCTGGTTCACTTTTGGTCATGAGCTGTTATTGGAACAGTCTTTAAATGACATGATGCCATGATGTTAAAAAAAAAAAAGCCGGCTCTTTTAAGTGAACGACGGGAGCCGGCTCGCACCCGCGAACGAGCCGTTTCTTGTTGTTGTTTTTTTTGTTGTTAAGTAATACAAGACGGAATGATATGATGATCTCCGCGCTACGGGTGCTCCGTGCATGCATGCAGTGACATGTAACCAAGGATTAGAGACTGTTGGATGCTGCTGTTTTGAGCATTGCAATACATTTATTTTCATTATGTTATTTATTTATGATTATCTTTAGGCTTAGCAAAGATTTGTTGTCAGTTTGTATAGGTGTTGCTATCTGCTTTTTTTTTTGCGTGGTTCTACAATCAGAGAGTTACAAGGCTGTAAATGCAATGAAAACAATTGGCCACAGCAAATCATTTATATTAAAAATGTAATTTTTACTTTTGAATACTTCAGTACAAAGGATGTATTGAATAATTTAAGTGATATATGTGTACACATATAGATCATTAGTCCAAACAGTGCTACATTTGATTGAATTATAAAAGGTATATTTCGCAGATAAATCTAGTAACCCCCGCCCCCTTAAAACCTGTTGAACCCCATCCGCCCGCCGGCGGGTGGAAAAACGCATCATCTGCAGGAAACAGCGTCTGAGGGCTTCTTAATATTTAATAAACTATGAATGTTTCATATCCATGTAACGGGAAGAAACTCAGCTAACTGATGATATGAAAGTTAATGTGCAAAAAAAAACACAAGACTAACGCTGAGCCTCTGGATTAGCCCTGAGCGAAAAAATGCTAACAGAACTCACGGTATAACACCCTTATTACTTATCGTAAATGCAAATCCAACCCATCGATTAGCATCGTGAGATTACACAGATTCGATAGGTATCTGTATCATCACTCCATGATCAGAACTCGTGACATTAGAAACAAAAACAGACATCACAACACGTGGCATTAGGTAGCCAACACGGCAATATTTCTTACCTTTGTTGTTGTCTGATCAAAAGTTGTGTTCAATGGCATTAAAATGATAAAAACGCTGCTGAAGGTTAATCCATAGGTTAATCCAATGTGTCTGTGTCACTTTGAAATGATTTCTGATAATCCATCAGCAATAAACCTAGTTTTAAGTTTTCAGATTTCAGAGCGTAAGATAGGTTTCACATTGGGCAAACTGCGCGCGCATAGCCCCCACTTCTCAATGGTAACGTTGGTGTGTATGTGGAAATTCCCCTTCGATTCTATTGGCTCTAACGGTTCAAAAGAGATGTCAATCATCAAAATCGACCAATGGGTTCCAGAGAAACAGCAAAAACGCCCATTTCCACCCAAATGACCCCAGAGGTGGAGTTTTTTTCTAAACCTCTCTAAAAAGGTCAAATGTCACTTGTTTTGCATCAATCTTGATACAGGGTACTTATTATATGTTGTACTTTGGATTCCTAAAGCTTTTAGTCTACTAACCCATCATCCAAGGATAGTTTTCACTATAAGTAAAAAAGAATTTTTGGACGGACACTATCATTTACATTTTTTTACTATGTTCAATCTGAATTTTCTTTAAAATAAAAAACATCTATATTGATTCTGACTTTTCGTCTTCCAACTCACAGGTTTACCATTACTTTGAGAAAAAAGATTATTAATTTTCCCCTTTTCGAAGTGTAGTTATGGTCATTTGTTCTGGAAATGTCATTTTCGAGCCTGAGACCTGAAAAACAGGCTCAGGGCTTAACAGGTTAAAGAAAAAACGGCTCTTTTGAACGGCTCCCGCAAAGGAACGGAGCCATAAGATCCGGCTCCCTTCAAATAGCCATAATTCCCATCACTACATAACACTGGCAGTTTACCTGTTGAGTTGAGTTCTCCTTCAGCCTGGAGTCCTGAGGAGAAATCACAAGGTTGATTTGTACAGTTTTCTATCACCTCAGAAACACTTCAGTGATCTCACTCTGGAGTCATTTTACCATTTACTATATCTGAGATAAACATGTTCATATAGAGAACACAAGTCAGTTCATTTAGAGCTCAAGCACCAGTTCATTCAGGAAATATGTTTCTTCACAGTGAAAAATTGCACTTAAAATGTTTGTTCATGCCTCCGGATAGCTCAGTGGTTAGAGCTGGCCAATAGGTGCCGACCTTTCTCTGGAACCAACTTTTATCAGTGTCCAAGCTTTTAAGAGTGCATTGAAGACCTTCCTTTTTACCAAAGTCTTTAGTTAGAGCTGGCATGAAATGGTAATGATTTTATTTGATGGTACTCTATTTGATTGTTTTATGTATTTTCCTTATCTTTTGTTGTATCTTATTTTATTTAGTTTTATTTCCATTTGTGTTTTAAACACTATCTTGTCTTTCCATTTTGCTGTAATATTATTGTTTACAATTGTTAAATGTTGTTGTTTGATTTAAATCCCTAAAGCAACCTGGTCTCACCAGAATACGTGACACCACCACGACTCCTTAACACCGCAGTACGTGGTGGAGTCACGTGTGTGTGTGTGTGTGTGTGTGTGTGTGTGTGTGTGTGTGCGTGTGTGTGCATGTGTGTCCTTGTGTGTGAGTGTGATGTGAGTGCGTGTCACAGGAAAAACAAAACTGCACTTTTAACCCGTTAAGCCCTGAGCCTGTTTTTCAGGTCTCAGGCTCGAAAATGACATTCCCAGAACAAATGACCATATCTTCCCTTCTAAAAGGGTTAAATTAATAATCTTTGTTCTCAAAGTAGTGATAAACCTGTGAGTTGGATGTAGAAAAGTCAGAATCAATATAGATGTTTTTTATTTTAAAGAAAATTCAGATTGAACATAGTAAAAAACTGTAAATTATAGTGTCCGTCCAAAAATTATTTTTTACTTATAGTGAAAACTACCCTTGGATGATGGGTTAGTAGACTAAAAGCTTTAGGAATCAAAAGTACAACATATAATAAGTACCCTGTATCAAGATTGATGCAAAATAAGTGACATCTGACCTTTTTAGAGAGATTTAGCAAAAAAAAACACTTCTGGGGTCATTTGGGTGGATTTTCCATATCTCTGGCCCCCCTTTGTCGATTTTGACGAATGAAATCTCTTTCTGACCGTTAGAGCCAATAGAATCGAAGGGGAATTTCCCCACACACACACATGGTAAAAGGAAAAGGTGGGGGCTTCGCGCATGCAGTTTTGCATCAGAGCGAACCTATCTCTCGCTCTGACATCTGGAAACGGAAAAGCAGTTTTATTGCTTATGGATTATCAGAAATCATTTCAAAGGGACACAGACACATTGGATTAACCTATGGATTAACTTCAGCAGCGTTTTTATCGTTTTAATGCCATTGAAGACCACTTTTGACCAGACTGTGACACAGGTAAGCCATGTTAGCGTTTTTAGCTACCTAACTGCACTTTTAACCTGTCGAACCCCATCGACCCGCCCCCGGGCGGAAAAACGCATCATCTGATAAAAAAAACGCTGCTGAAGGTTAATCCATAGGTTAATCCAATGTGTCTGTGTCACTTTGAAATGATTTCTGATAATCCATAAGGAATACTGTAAACCTACTTTTCCGTTTTCAGATGTCAGAGCGTGAAATAGGTTCGCTCTTGGCAAAATTGCATGCGCGAAGCCCCCACTTTTTTTTGGTAACGTTGGTGTGTATGTCGACATTCCCCTTCGATTCTATTGGCTCTAACGGTTAAAAAGAGATGTCAATCACCAAAATGGGTTCCAGAGAAACGGCAAAAACGCCCATTTCCACCCAAATGACCCCAGAGGTGGAGTTTTTTTTGCTAAACCTCTCTAAAAAGGTCAAATGTCACTTGTTTTGCATCAATCTTGATACAGGGTACTTATTATATGTTGTACTTTGGATTCCTAAAGCTTTTAGTCTACTAACCCATCATCCAAGGGTAGTTTTCACTATAAGTAAAACATAATCTTTGGACGGACACTATAATTTACAGTTTTTTACTATGTTCAATCTGAATTTTCTTTAAAATAAAAAACATCTATATTGATTCTGACTTTTCTACATCCAACTCACAGGTTTATCATTACTTTGAGAATAAAGATTATTAATTTTCCCCTTTTTAGAAGTGTAGATATGGTAATTTGTTCTGGAAATGTCATTTTCGAGCCTGAGACCTGAAAAACAGGCTCGGGGCACAACAGGTTAAGAAAAACCTGAATTACAGTGTTAATATTCATGAGCAGTACCCTAGAACAACTGCAGGGGCGCTGTGTTGAAACACAGATGTAACACAAGCTCTGTTTTTGTAAAATAGTTGGATTTTGGAGACTTATACTGTTTGAGCTCTCCAGAAACACTTCCACTCGGTCAGAGTCAGCCGCACACTGACCTTGTCCTGCTAATACAAAGTGTCCTCGTAGTTCCGGTGTTTATTCATACCACATGTCTGCTGAGACCACACAAACCAGCACACTAACACACATATATGAAATATCTGAATAAATAATGAAATATAACATACACACATAAAAAACATACACACACACACACACACACACATACACACACGCACACACACACACACACACACTTATAACCACATTCAAAAAGGCACATACACACACACTTGCACACAAACACACGCACACATACACACACACACACTCAAACAGACATTTACCTTAGAAACACACATACACACACACATGCTCAAACACACACACATGCACACGTGCACACTCAAACACATATATACACTAGTGAAAACAGACACACACACAAAAACGCAAAAATCTACAAACAAACAAACACACACACACACACACACACACACACACACACACATACACACACACACACACACACACACACACACACATACACACACACACACACATACACACACACACACACACACACATACACACACTCAAACAGACATATACATGAAGAAACAAACATGCACACACACACACACACACACACACACACACACACAGTCAAAAAACATATACCTGCAGAAACACACACACACACACACACACACACACACACACACACACACACAGTCAAACAAACATATACTTGCAGAAACACACACACACACACACACACACACACACACACACACACACACACACACACATACACACACATACATACACACACACACACACACACACACACACACACACACACACACACACACACACACTGGTTACACACAAGCACACTTACACACGTACTTGCACACAAACAGCAAATAAAACTTCAATGATCGGGACAATCAAAAGCTCTGATTCCTTCCACAGTGTGAATATTCATGAGCTGGTGCAGTACACCATCACAACTACAGGGGGCTGTGTTGATACACAGATGCAACACTGTCTGGTGTTGTGCATGTGTGTGTGTGTGTGTGTGTGTGTGTGTGTGTGTGTGTGTGTGTGTGTGTGTGTGTGTGTGTGTGTGTGTGTGTGTGTGTGTGTGTGTGTGTGTGTGTGTGTGTGTGTGTGTGCGTCTCTATGTATGTTGAGTATATGTGTGTGCATATGTGTGCGAGTGTTTGTGACAAATATCAACATAGAAAACATACACAGATAAAAACATTAACAATTGCACAGACAGGTTTACTACAAACAGCCACGTGTGTGTGTGTGTGTGTGTGTGTGTGTTCAGTGAATGAACAGATTCATTATTATCTTTTTTATTTCTGCTCTTTGCAGCATCTCTGAAGACACAAATGTTTATTTAATTTATTTTCCAAGTATGCATACTATTGTTAGATTTAAAACTAAAATGTAACTGAACTTCCTGATATTATATGATCAAATATGTTTTTCCACATCATTTATTTCATACTATTTGATTTACACGTCACACCTCATTGAGTCATTTTTTTCCTGTTTGTGAGCAACACGGTGAAATGAAATATTAATAATACATAGTAATGATCTTAATTACAGAAACTATGATCAAACTATGATCAGAGTTGTGGTAGAATACAGACTGTGGAGTAAAATGCACGACAAGCTTAACTCTCCTTTAGAGTCACTCAGTAACAATCGTAAAAGTTAAACCCATTCAAATAAGCAATGATAAAGATCAGTGTGACAGAGGCGTCAGAATAGAGGGGTTTTAAGTTCACCTAAATCTAGTTTAGGGGCTCCAAAACCCAAGGTCTAAATGCAACAGGATATAAATACATTGATTGGATGTTGAATTTAAATATATATTTATGTTTACCAGAAGAAGAACAGAGTAAAAATCTTGTTCTGGGTTTTATAATAAAGTTGAAAGTCCTACCTGAGCTCCACAGCAACAGGAACAACAGCAGCAGGTGATCCATGTCCCGTAGAGAGAGATACTTTATAGATAAACGTATACTTTATTATGTTGGGAATAGTTTAGGTAGAGCGTCGTCTCTCTTCCGTCTCTCTGAACATCTCACATGCTGTCGTTTCTTTATATCTGCGCACAGGAAGAGGTGCACCTGCTCTGGAACAATATCTGATCGTATTTATCTGATGTTTTCTTCCTGTGTGTTTCTGCCTGTGACATAAGCTGCTCATAACCAATTGCCCCTTGCGGGATTATTAAAGTTGTTGATTGATTGATTGATCGTATATATATTTCTGATCATATATATATCTGATGGTATTTCTGAGGGTCCCATCAGGCCTCTCTGTCCCTCCCCACTCACACTGAGGCCTAAAGTCATGCTATTGAAGAGGAATGATTGAACTGTACCTGAGTCATCAACAGGAGTCTACAAACACGTCTTTAAATTACATTTTGAGATAAACCAACATCCGCTCTGTTTTTAAAGCAAAAGGGGAAAGTGTTCATAATCCTGACCTTTCTGTAAAAGCCCCTTAAACGTACAAAACACTGATCATATAGTTAACAGGTTAAGAGCTAAACTAATGAAATGAATAACTGGAGTATTTCAAAGGACAGGATCTCACAGAGAGAGAGATGTAGGTTTCATACTTTGCTGACGGGGAATGAATTGAAATATATGTTCTAATGTCCTATATTCTGGTTGTCCAGCAGTGAGGCACGTTCGTTGTGGTCGGTGACGACAGGGTTTGACATTTCAGTTTGACTGCATGTGATTATGCATCATTAATAATGAAACATGACATTTCTTCATTTATTTTCATTGATTTATTTAATTTATGTATGTTTTCTTTTTGTTTATTGGTTTCTGTAATTACGTTTTGATGGATGGATGTTTATTATTTTTATGATTTAGGTTTTTGCTAAAATAATTTTACATATTGGACTGTTTTCGTAAAAATTATGTAAAGTGTAATAACATGTAAAAATGCTATTTTTATAATAAAAAAAATTACTTCATGGAAGCATCGCATCGGTCCATGTCGGCGGCCCTTAAAGGCAATGTGAGCGTCCATTCCCATTGGATAACGGAGAATTGTACACCCGGAAGTAACTATTCTCTTTACTGTCGATTGATTTTACAGTGATATCTGCACTACTCATCAACTCAAAAACACCAGATTATCCTTGTTAATTACACAACATTGATTGGTTTAAATTGTGTGCAATGCTTTTGTATTTTTCCCCTTCGATTCGGAGAAACAAATATTTTTTCGGAGTTTAGGATGGCAGAAGACACTACACTACCCAGAATCCTCAGCTATCATTTAGGACTACAGCATGTGCTTTGTTTGACAAACCCCGTGCACTTTCACATCAGAACAGAATACAAGTCATAACTTTAGTCTTTGTTATTCTTCCTCCTCCTCCTCCTCCTCTTCCTCTCTCAGTATATTTTCTTTAATCAGAAGTCATCATCGTCGCAGATGTCGAGGTAAACGTCGAAGGCTTCTCGGTTGCAGTTTCCATCGGGGGTGAAGACGTACTTATGGAAGGTCCCGTCCACACATATGGCTGCAGGGAGACGAAGAACTCTTTAAATAACAACACATCATAAAACACTGTTTTTGAGCAACACTGAGGCCTTTCTCATTTCTCTACTTTCCCCTCCTCGACTCCTCGACTCCTCGACTCCTCGACTCCTCGACTCCTCGGTCCTCCGGTAGTGACCCGGAAATGGATTTCAGCGCGCCATGTTGAAGGACATCTCATTTCCCTAAATGCACATCGAGGACCGAGGATCGAGCGTCGATGAGGCTCTCTGGAGGAGGTATAACCGAGGATACACTGGTTTTCGACCTCCTCTCTCCGTGTTGTCAGCAAACTTCTCGATGGTGTTGGAGCTGTGTGGCCACGTGTGAACAGGGAAAAGAGGAGAGGGCTGAGCACACCGCCCTGAGGGGCGCCGGACTCTGAGGAAAATATTCCTGGTGGCCAAACGGCGGTACTACAACTTCCGTATCAGTCCGTGACGTCACTGGGCCCAGAAAGACTTTCTCCCATTAGCCGCGTTCACACCGGAGTACTTTTCCCCGACACGCGTTACTTCGTTACTTTTATAAAATCAGTCATAATCACACTGACAGACAAGAGGGGTTTCCGCCGCAGGTTTATATGTACGTAATCTGCGCGACTTGCGCATCCACATCTCCACGTGCAGTGCTGCATAAACATGGCTGAGTCAGCAATAACTTTCGAGGGGTGGAGGTATGCCCATTATTTTGAGTTCGTCCGAAGAATAGACAGGAATGTGACGGTGAGGTGCAAACTGTGTCCAGGCCAGAAGCTGTTATCCACTGCTGTAAACACCACGTCAAACCTCTACAAACACCTGCAAAGAACACATGCTAAGGTGAAGCTAATAGCTAAGGACCCCCGAACCCAGAGTGAGGATGTTGTCAGTGCGCCGCCGCCGATTCCGAAGCAGCACAAATTAGAATTTGGAGGACCGGTAACCCAAAGCAGAGATGGACAGGCTTGTAGCATCCTTCATAGTAGAGGTAATGTTGCCCATTTGCACAGTGGAATCACCATCGCATCGTTCAGAGATATACTGCGCAAAATACAGATAGCAGGAGACAGAGGATAGCCATAGTCAGAGCTATCTGGATCAGTCTTATGCGACAATGGAAACTGAACTAAAGAGAACATTTGAAACTTTAGCAGTCTGCGTGATCTGCCTGTAGGGAGGGGCTGGCCGGCCCTGCGAGTAAAGTAACGAGTAAAATAACGAGTAAAGTAACGAGTTACTTTATGTAGAGAGTAACGAAGTAGTGTAATATATTACTTTTTTTTAAAGTAATATGTAATATGTAATATATTACTTTTTTTTAGTAACGACCCCATCTCTGCCTGTTACGCACCATCCGCCCGGAACCGGGCGGATAAACGCGTCATTTGCAGGAAACTACGTCTAAGGAATCTTAATATTTAATAAACTATGAATGTTTTATATCCATGTAACGGGAAGAAACTCAGCTAACTGATCTTTTTAAAAAAAAAAATTAAAAAAAAAAACACAATGCTAACACTTAGCCTCTGAATTAGCCACGAGCGAAAAAAATGTAACCTATCTCTGCAACTAAACTCACAATAACTCCCTTATTACTTATCCTATCTGGTGCCCTCCTCAACACTCAGTGATAAACATTTGCGACGCTATAAACGAAAGCGTACATCATAACATGTGGAGCTAGGTAGCTAGAAACGCTAACATGGCTTACCTTGGTCAAAACTGGTCTTCAATGGCATTAAAACGATAAAAAATTTAAATTATTTCTGATAATCCATAAGCAATAAAACTGCTTTTTCGTTTCCAAATGTCAGAGCGAGAAATTGGTCCACTCTGCTGCACATTTACATGCGTGCAGCCCCCACCTTTTCTCTTCACAACGTGTGTGTGTGGGGGCCTCCTCCTTTGATTATATTGGCTCTAACGGTCAGAAAGAGGTGTCAACCATCAAAATCGAGCAAGGGGGGCCAGAGATATGGAAAAAGAAAATTTTTCACCCAAATCACCTCAGAGGTGGGGTGGTTTTGGCTAAACTTCTCTAAAAAGGTCAAATGTCACTTGTTTTGCATCAATCTTGATACAGGGTACTTATTATATGTTGTACTTTCGATTCCTAAAGCTTTTAGTCTACTAACCCATCATCCAAGGATAGTTTTCACAATCTGTAAAAAAGAATTTTTGGACGGACACTATAATTTACAGTTTTTTACTATGTAAAATCTGAATTTTCTTTAAAATAAAAAAACATCTATATTGATTCTGACACTTCTACATCCAACTCACAGATGTAACCTTGCTTTGATAAAAAGAAATTATTCATATAACCCTTTTAGAAGTTAAGTTGTAGTCATTTGTTTTGGGCATGTCATTTTCGAGCCTGAAACATGAAAAACAGGCTTGGTGCTTAACAGGTTAATGTCTTTCATTTGTGTAAAGCACTTTGAATTGCCTTGTGTTGAAAGGTGCTGTATAAATAAACTTGCCTTGTCTTGTAGTCAATGAACATCATTCTGAGGCATCTTTCATCCACTACGCTCCCAAACTGTGGAACAACGATAAAGAGGAAAACTCAGTGGACATTTTTAAACGCCAGCTATAAAAAAACAAAACACTTTAAATGGTCTTTTAGTCTTTATTAAAACTGTACTAATTAATACTAATACTGTCTTTAACTTTTCTGAGCTGCTTTTCTGAGGAACTGATGACGAAGATGCTGATGGTTTACAGATTACAGAAACTGTTGGTTTCCTGTTTTCATGACACCAGGCTGTCCTATCAGACGCTGTCAGAGTCAGATCAGATTAAACTTTAACACGAAGAAGTGCAGAAGAAATGCGTCATGATGAGTATTTAATTCTGTTAATTTAAGTATGTACACACACACACACACACACACACACACACACACACACACACACACACACACACACTCCTACACACACACACACATACACACACATGCACACGCACACACACACACACACACACACACACGCGCACACACACACACACACACACACACACACACGTATGAATGTATACGTGAATACAGCAGTAACCTGTGTATCCTTTCTAATACATGTAGATAGTGTTTCTAACTGAACATGTAAAGAGTCTCTGATGTTCAGGCTGATATGAGGCTGCAGATGTTGAGCAACACGCTGCTTGCTCTCATCACTGGTTGTTTCATGTGACTTCAGTACAAATAAGGGTTTTTAAAAACATTTCAAAGTTATATATATAATGAATCAATAAATAAAATATTTGTTTTGTTTCAGAATCAGAATACCTTTGTTAGTCCCACAGAGAGGACATGTACGTTGTTCCAGCAGAAAAGAGCCACAGACAGCTTCATGTTAACTAAAGCATGCATACCAAAATATTAAAGATACAACAATTATGATAAACAAAGTTACACAATTTACAACATCCTG